ATATAGCCTAACTAGGAAGCTATCTATTTAAACTCTCTGGCTTCAACCAACGTCACATGTTTCCTCCTAATATACCCTTTTCGGGAATAGTAATTTACTGTGAAAGACTCTAAGACTTTAGCAAACAAAGAAGGCATTTATCCTTGTGGTAAATCCAACAGAGTGGTACATGTCCCACACATGTATTCACCTACTTGTTCGGTAATTTCTATACTAGTTAGTACCTGTTGTGCTGCTGTCACTGAGTTTGTATCTCAAGCCAACTTTTGAGGTGCTACCATAACCTGATCTGTATCTCAAGCCACAACCTTCCTAATTAGTTGCCCATTACGTATTCCTCGCCCTTGCAAGATTCACAACAACTCCGGTACCCGCAATCCAGCCGTCTCCTTACCTGGAAGCTTTATCGGTCCCTCTCGCAATTCCAGCCAGCAACCCGAAAAGGTTGGTCTGCCAGGCTTTAGGTATCTGAAGGACGCCCTCCTCTTGGTTCATACTTTCGGAGTGTATGCTCTTTTCCTCCAGTGTGTCTAAACCAGCGATTTGGCTGGTGTGTCCCCCACTAAAGGACTTGGTCCTACAGTTCTCCAATCTCAGGTCCCAGTTCGAATTCAGCCTTCATGTGATACCGTCGAAGATTGCTGCTACTCCCAACTTGGAACTTGCCAAGTGGGTTCCAAAACCTTCTTGTTTCTCGGTGTTATCAATACTACCAAGACATCCTATATCTGCTCGGCAGTATACAGATACCCCAGCAGTGACAACTTTTCAATACAGGGTATTGGTGTGACCCAAGGTTACAGGTTAATCTAAGCCCCAACTTAATGAAGATCCATTACTATAACGCAAGCTTATTTTCCAAACTTTCGTTGTCAGTAGGATTTGAACTCTAGACCTGCCACTTGGAGAGGGTGACGACTTCTTAATATAGTAATTTAATAAATATTTCTCAAAAAATTATAAAATTTTTAGAATATATATAATTTGTTATATTAAATAACTTTATTAAAAAAAATTGCTAGTTTACTTGATAAAAAATTAAAGTTATATATTACTATATTTAGTAATTTTAATTATTATAAAAATATAGTAAAATTTAAAAAATCATACCAATATAAAAATCTAAATTTTTACTTAAACTTAATTATTTTAAAAACCGTTGCATAGAATTTTGCAATCTTTTTTTTATTTAAAAAATATAGTTTGAAAGAACTTATATTTTAATTTTTAGCTTTATATTTTATATATTTAGCTTTGTACAAATTCTTAAAAAGTGTCCATAATACCATGGTACCTACTGTAATGAAATTTCAATCTGTAATTTAATATACATTATATCCATACAATAAAGCAAAGCGTTATTATGTATATGAAAACATATTTTATTTTCCAATGCACAATACACCATCATAAAATTATTCTTGATACAATATATGTGCTACAGTAAATTTATTCTATTTTCTCAAATAATTCCTCAGGAATTTTTAATACCTGCCAAACTGTTGTTTCTTTGAATCAAAGTACAATTCTATCAATCTTGCCCATAAGTTCTTCTTGTTTAATTATTTCATTCTGGAGAAAAAGTATCATCACCAAATAAGTATTTTGAGAAAATAAATTATAAATACAAATCATAAGATATACATACATGAAAAATAGACATTATCTTAAAAATAGTCTTGAACTGATAATAGCTATAGAAGCTAAAAAGGACTACTGTAGTAACAAGTTCTAAAAAGATAAATTTTCCATCTGGGAGTATACTAAGTGTATACAAAGTCATCTGAGTGCCTAAAAAAGTAAAACATAAATAATAGAAAATTCAACCTCACTAGTCATACAGATATATTATTTACCAATAACATTGGTACAAAAAACTTTTATTTTTGTAGCGAGTTCTATACTACAATCTAAATAATTTTTCAATATTGCAATTAAATTTAACACGTCTGTACGGAGTGTTTTTTTTGTATTTCCCAAGGTGTGTGTGTTTGTTATGTTACATGATCCATCAGCTACTTCTATATGCTATACACTTAATCTATCGTAATGTTTAGTCGCTATGGAATCTACCTTGACAATTCCTGAATTTGTTACAGATTTTGTAATTTTTGCAGAGCGGGCATGAGACTTAATCTAGTCGAAATTGAGGTTAAAAAATATTTTCTTATAAAATTTATAAATTGACAAGATTTGGTAAGTTATGTATTTATATTCACCTATCTTTTTGTTCATCATTGGAGTTAATATTAACTAGATTGTAGCTAAAGAGTAGTTGTTAGTATTTTCTCTTGATTAATTGATAAGCTTCAACATTTACTTACAAATTAAAGAGGACTTTCTCACTGTACAATCAGAAAAGGTTGTCCAGAATATCAATAAATATAGCATTTTTAAATTGTTTTCTGGATTCTTTTAGGATATTGTCAATATATTCTTCTATATCAGGTATTAGAGGCCTGCATTGGGTCCCAAAGCCTAGTCTGGCCTGGGCCCACTCAGCCCGGTATGTGGGCTTGGGCAGGCCTAAAAAAAATTTTTATAATTGTGAGCCGGGCTGAGCCAAAATTTTGAAAAAATTTATATTAAAAATTTGTGGGCTGGGCTTGACAAAAAATTTTTAACTGTGGGTAGGCCCGGGCTAGCAAAAAATTTGTAACTCTAATTGTGGGCCGGGCCTGGGCCTTAAAATTAGGAATTTGCAGGCCTCTATTAGGCATTCATATTTTAGGGTTAGTATCATATACAGAAGAAAGTTTGTTTGCAAGCTCTGCGCTAATTTCTAAAGTTAACTTGTCGACTGACTTATCAAATGTGCATATTACAGATATATCTTCGGAATATCTGAAGAAATTAGTAAGATACTATTAGATTGCCTCTCATTCATTAGATAAGTATACACAATGAAAGAGACTTACTGAAGAATTTCTTCATTACTTATTGGTCGCTTATTGGACATTGTTTTCAATAAAGTTAAGACTCGCGGAACTTGCAATGGGGTTCTAGGTACTGAAGATTTCGCAGATTCTGAATTAGTGATATTATTTGTTCTTCTTACCTTCCTCAATTCTCTCTTTTCATTTGATTCATCTGTTTTAGTATAATTAATACATTTTATTGGGTGAGATGATCTGCATATTGAAGGTTCTCCTTGCAACATATTCGTGATTAAAAAAAAATTTGTAGCCTCATTGATAATCGCAATTAAAGGCCTACCGATTCTTCATTTTTGTCCAATGCAATATAATTATTTGTTCTGTTGTTAGTGATCCTGCCATAGACAGTTTCACTGCTAGAAATTTGATAGTAGATATAGACTTGCTTCTTTAAATGTTCTCTCTCCCAATTATTCGCCTTCTTTTTATCAGATCGAAGCTCCTAGAATAAAATGTTTTGAAATTAGTAATCTTTTCAACTCTTACAGAATTTCATTTGATTTCTAATCCTATCAGAACATCAGACAAGCTAGGAGGTCATCTGTGCTCTAATGGGTCTAGTGCTGGATTGGCTAAGAGTCTTTTAACAACAAACAAGCTAGGAGGTCATCTGTGCCTCATTACTAGTTTGCTAGCTCAACTAAGAGTTTTGAATAATGAATAATCTAAGAGATTTTGTCTGCCATACCATATATTTCAACACTTTCAGCAAAAGATTTTTACTTTTCTTCTTATAATTATCATATAACAAATTTGCTTTGTCATGCCTTTTTCCTTGTTCATCGTTCATAATTAACTCAAGAGATTTAAGGTATATATATATCTATTTTGAGTCTGAAAGGTTCCTCAGTAGATTTGTTTAAAAAATCTAAAATACTCCAGTGCTTAGGATTTTGTTGTTCAAAGTATTCATAAACAGGCATGGTAAATGAGTTGTAGCCAAATCAATAGTACCCTCATAGCGAAAAAAATGTGATAGCAAATGAAAATTGTCTAATTAAAAATTATAAAAAGAAATAGAATCATGGTATATATTTATTTTTGTTTATTATTTTGATTTATATCGATATACCTATCAGAATGCATAACTGTCACAGATAACGTGATTAGTTATTCTTTACCGACAATTCAAGTTGGCCAAATTTATATTGCCGGCCTGAATTATGCTTTTAATTTTGCCAAAATATATATTGTTTAAAATTTGCGATTTTCTCTAAAAATATCAACACAAATCGATGATATTATTCACTGTTCTTGAGTTAGAGATGTGTCTAAAGCCAAGGTCTGTTTGAAACCAAAACATGTTAAACTTGAGTTTTGTAATCATGCGATTTTGATTAGAAACTTTACTGTTTATAGTGCTCAAATCGAGCTCAAAATCGATTTCTTAAGCAAAATGTTTTATAATATAATTAAAAGTTAATTTTTATGATGCAAATGATGTAAATGAGTTTTTGTATGCTTATTTTTTTTAAAAAAAAAAAATTATAAAATTTCTTATCCTCCACATTAATTTCAACATATGATTGAACTGGAAGCACTAATAGACACAACATGCTGCCTTTCAAAGCAATTTAAAATTGATCCCTTCTGGGACAAACTTACATGCAAACATTGCAACAAAGTCTATTTAGTAGATACAAGTCTGTCTACAAAATAGTTGTACTTTAGACAGTGTGAATAAAATGTTTCTAATAAATTAAATGAATTATTACAGATTAACAAGCTTTTTTCTTTAAAAATAAAGATTTTCAACTATTGTTACCTTATAAAAAAAGTTGATCTGTGTTTTATATTTGCCTGATTATGTTGCAGATTTATAAAAAATATGGAAATATTTGGATTAAATTTCTTACAGAGTTTAATACATTATGACATAATTATATGATCTGATTGCATAATTTAAATGTATAATGGTAATATTATGATTACTAAAATTTCCTATAAAAGAAATCTGTTTAAATTTTGCTAAACTTGATAAATAATATCTTCTGTATTAATTTAGTTGATTTTATTTATTCAAAACTTAAAAACATGATTCTGGTTCTTCAAATACCATAATTCATTTGCAAAAATTTATTCAATGGGTTTACATAGTAAACCTTGGACCTTCAATATCAACAAATATTAAACTAATATAGAATGAAAGGTTGAATGAATAGGCAAATTTCACATTAAAAAATAATAGTGATTGATAGCTTTGATAAAATTAAAGTGATCATATATATTTTTTTACTTTTTTTTATGTACCATCTAATAGATTCAAAATTATATAGCACTATTTTTTTTTAATTAAAATTAATTAAGAGGATATCCATAATTTACGTTAAACTGGCATTGTTATAGAGATCTTAAAGATAATACAAAAATAATACTATATGAAATTATATTCAAGGTCTCTATTTTTATACAATACTGTACTGGTTCAACGTAAATTATGGATGTCCCCTAATTAGAAGCAATATTTTCAGTTTCAGCAAAATCTTATCTCAGACTTCGATGTTTTAAAAAAAGGGTTAAACCAATAAAAAATGTTTAAAAAACTGTTTACGGCTTATTCATTCATCAGCAAATTATATAAACGTAGTCTTACATAAGATATTACGGCCCATAATATTGCGCAAGAATTACGGTCTGGACATAATATTGCGCAATTTATTACGTAATATTA